GTGGTGTGGAGACTGCCCCAGAGTTAGAAGATAAGGCCCTTAGGGATGCTTCATTACTTCTCAGGCCCATTTGAATGCCCCCCCTTCCTTTTACCTGCTTTCCTGTAAGCCTCCCACCGGGAAATGATACATCAGTAAAACAATTGGGGGAGGAAGAAACAAAAGATAAAGGCAACATTTGTCTGTGTACTTAAGATTCTGGAAATGTACAAAAGCCACAGGTCACACAGCTGCTCCCCCTACATCCAAGGCAGCCTCTCAGCTGAAGTGTGGTCCATTCCTGTTAGCACAAAAACAGGCCAGTGGACTTTTACCACTTAAAAACAAAGAAACCTTGGCAGGCACTGGGGCATAGCAGGTAAAGCCGCTGCTTGGCATGCCGGCATCCCATATGGGTGCTGGTTCAAGTCCGGGTTGTTGCAGTTCTGATCCAGCTCCCTGCTAATACACCTGGGAAAAGCAGCAGAGGATGGCCCAAGTGTTTGGGCTCCTGCACCCATGTGGGAGACCCTGATGAAGCCCCTGGCTTTGGTCTGGCCCAGCCCTGGCCATTGCAGCCAGCAGGAGAGTGCACTAGCGGATGGAAGACCTCTCCCTTTCTCTCTGTAATTGGGCCTTTCAAATAAATAAATCTTAAAAAAAAAAAAAAAAAGGAAGCAACCACCTTTACAAGTGCAGTGTTTTTCCACTGTCTTCGTCTGCTCCCTGGGGAAATTCCAAGGGGAAGAGACCAGGGATAAAGAGCTTTTTGTGTTTCTCTTGGTTTTAACTGCTAAAACAATTTTTGTTCCATTAGGTTTGTAACGCGAGCTCTTTCAGACTGAACTGACACAACAGCCTGTGTGCCGATTAATTCATCACCACTCACTCAGCCTTCACATGTCTTAAAAACAAAACTGATGACTTCTAACAGGGGCCAGCATCCACTTAGGCACCCCCTTGAAAGTTGTTCAATGTACGGCTCCAGGATGACACAATGGAGTTGAAGAGCAGCTCTCGCACGCACTCACACACACACACACACACACACACCATGCAATAAATAGTTACCAGCCTATCTTTCCCAAGTCATGCCCAGTTCAGGCTTATCTGCCAGAGACAGGGAGCTTAACGCCATCTGCCAGAGCCCCCCAGAGGCTGTGTCACCATTGGCTACCTGATGGAAGCTATCTCCTAAAAGTCTGGAGGAATGACAAATGCCTTGAGATATTATCTGACTTGGCTTGTCCAAAGATGCCTTATCAGTGCCTTTCCTGTTACACCGCCAGAGAATGGGGGACGTTTGCAGAAGTGTAGCTGGCTGCTAGGCCCTGCCTAGCAATAAATGCTTGGAAACGCAGAAAAGCAGACCCCCTGGGAAATCTCCCGCCTTGCCCCAGGAGGTAAGCCTCTATCTGGTTAAGCTCGGCTCTGCTACCTTTGATCCTATCTCTACATTTCTGGAATAGCAGACAAGTTGACGACACACTGTAAAACCATGGGGTGCTGGCAGACTAACAAGGACACGTGCAGAGTGCAAACTGCAAACTGCACCCCAAATCAAGAGCTGGCAAAACCTCGAGAGAAGGCAGGGTTTCATTTATTTCACAGAATCTCACATTCTCGCCTTTTAAAAATCAACAGGGACCAACAGGGACGGAAGGAATTGGGTAGAAAGGAGAGTGAGTTGGTGTCTGGAAGTTAATTTTTTCCACTCTAAACATGACGCTAACTAGTTAGTAACTAAATTCACTTCATCCATTAAAATGATTTTTTCACTAACAAGATCCCCTCCCACTTCCTAAATTTACAAAGTTCCAGAAACCAGTAGTGGAAAGACTGGTATTCTTTGCAGGGGGCCACCTGGGCAGCAGGTGTCCTAGAGAGGAGCACTGGTTGCAAATGCATCCACGGGACAAAAGCTGTTCAAGGGACACTGAAAGATTTTCACCATGGGTGAGATCCATCCTGAGCAGCAAGGCTGTTAAGGTGCCTGGATTAAAATGTTCTTATCAGCAGCCCTGTAGATCATTCCAAAAGGAAATAATTGAAAACCCGACATATTTAGCAGGCTAAAGGATTATTCTAGAAGCTAGATCCTAGACCAGAGGGCCTGCAATCATATGTTGGCAAGGAGCTGATTAAAAAAAAAAGAAAGAAAGAAAGTCAAGTAAAATCTCCACTGTATAAATAAAGGGTCCATGTTCACAAATTTCATGGAATATTGCTGGGCTACTCCAGTTCACCCGAGTACTAGCTGCTAGTAGAAACAGCTATAGGGCCTTCCAGAATAATCGTATCGTGTCTTCCAGAATAATCCTATCATGTCATTTCCCCCATCTCGCAGGCCGAAAAACTGAGGCTTCAGACAGCCTACAGAATTTGCCTGAGTTCACACAGCTATGCAGGTTGAAAAGTTATTTGAGCTAAGAGGCGGACAAAGGCGGCCAATTAGAGGTAAGGGGAAAAAGCTGGCCTGGCCAGCCACCAGTGTCCCCAGCACTGGAAGCCGCTGCTTTCAAGCGCTCGGCCTGTAATCAAGCCATATTGAAACCAGATTTACGAGCGATCGTTTCAGAGGAGAGCTTTGTGATTTTCTGAAGCAGACATGTTTGGTATTTTAGAAGGTCAAACCCCCTGTGGTGCAGTGTTTTTAATAAAATCAGTACAGCAGAAATTAGAGACACACTAGCCAACTTCCAGGAAGCTCCTGAGCTATTCAAAGGAAGAGGAGAAATCACTTAAAAAGTCAGAACCATGCACACGCCAGTTTTTTTTTTTTTTTTTTTGCAAACGGGCAGGTATAGAAACATCCTGGCTATTTGTTGGGAATTTCTCTAAAAGGAGCAAATTTCCACTTAAAAAGGAGAATTCCTTTTGGGAGTTGTAAGTTCCTGGGAAGCCCACCTTGTACTGACAGCTCAGAACAAGCAAAAGCAAACCCCTCCTGTAGCTCAGTAACGTTCAAATTGGAGAAACCCGCGGTATGTCCTTGGAACAGCCAAGTCACGTGCACGTCTGATGTTCAGGTTGGTTGGTGAGGATGGCGGTGAACAGTAAATGAAAGCTGAGAGGCCGGCGCCTTGGCTCAGTTGGCTAATCCTCTGCCTGTGGTGCTGGCACCCCGGGTTCTATTCCTGATTGCTCCTCTTCCAGTCCAGCTCTCTGCTGTGGCCCGGGAGGGCAGCGGAGGATGGCCCAAGTGTTTGGGCTCCTGCGCCCGCATGGGAGACCAGGAGGAAGTACCTGGCTCCTGGCTTCAGATCGGCGCAGTGCCAGTCGTAGCGGCCATTAGGGGAGTGAACCAATGGAAGGAAAACCTTTCTCTGTCTCCCTCTCACTGTTTATAACTCTCTCTGTCTCTAACTCTGCCTGGTCAAAAAAAAAAAAAAAAAAAAAAAAGCTATAAGAGGACAGCACATTTTTAGGAGACCGGCTGATCTATGATGTGGCTAGAACCTGAGCCCCCTAGAACCCCAGGGGCCATCAACATGGCGCCTTGGCCCCCGGGCACAGGAGCTGTGAACAGCTGGCAGGTGCAAATCCGCAGCCGGAAGGGAGGCAGGTCAGGGCACACAGAACCAGGCAGACACTTGGCACTGATCTCTGCTACAGTTCTGGAACACACTGAGCCAGCCCAGGGCCTTTCCTGGAGGGTGGAATCTACATTTCCAAGTGGATTCCTAGTGTCTAACTTTAAATGCTGCGCGCCTAGTCAACCAGTGCTTGGAAGGAAGCGTCCCCACACAGCTCACCCAAAGGCTGATGCTGTAGCCGCATGGAGTCTGAGGGCCAAGCAGGCTCCCCCCCCCCCCCCCCCCCCCCCTTTGTGCCACAAGATGACCCTCCTATGATGGCTCAGAGCCAGAGTGCAGCAAACGGTGGGACTTCACCAACCACCAACTCTCTGATCAATTCTCTTCTCTATGCAGGTTTGAATGGTTATGTGCAAGGTCTTGGCTCCCTGAAGAACAGCCACATGTTAAGACTTATCTTTTAGACTTCATAGGCAAGAGCGGTTGATCTCAAAAAGCACAATACAAACTTCATCATTTAGGAAAATGGGCATTTATTCCATTGCCTGGTTTGTTGGGGGCCAGTGATCTATTGCTTGTTAAATAATCTAGGTACTCATTTTTATACTAGATTCTTCCATGAATGTGCTTATACCTGTTGTCTGAAGGGACTATGAAATATTCTGGTAAAAATCTGCCAAAAAAAATCTTCCTCAAATAAAACGCCATACTCAAATGCAGGCCATAAGTAAAGGTCTCAATTATACAGAACTGAGAAAAAAAAACCTTCGACAGCAAATTATTCTCATGGTTAACATAACCAAGATCCATCTGATGGCCAAGTACACAACATGGCACAGGTTTAAGTTCAGGCTGGCCAGTTATTACCACAGGAAAGTCTCATTGCTCCTTAGCTGTACTACTGGCTAGAGCCAACATTCCACTGGGTTCTATTAACAAAAGGATCATTTGGGGGGTAAGAAACCAGTTACTTAAATCTCAATCAGCTTAACATTCATTGAAAGAAGTTTAAAGGTTGGAAAACTAGGAGCATTATACAATAAAATTTGGCTTATCTGAGGACCAAACATATTTAATTTGGTTTGAGATAGAATGCATCAATTCATCTAATATCGAATTACAAAAAATTGCATTTCACTGGTTTTTTATCCCCCCCCTTCTGAATGGAGCTAGCACATTTTCTGAGGTTTCCCAACACAAGCAAATCAAGTTGATAAGCATGATAAACCTTTGCTAAGGCAACTTCAGCAGTGAGTTCTCGTCAATGAAAACCAGCAGCCAGAATTTTGCTTACAAAAAGGTGGCGAAGACACCAAATGGTCAGCACACAGAAGCCTCCTCACTGCTAAAAATGTGTGCGTGCACACGCGGGATCGTGGCTTCATTAAATAACGGCCCTCAAACCAGATCCAATCAACGTCCGCATTTGTGTACCTTCTCACACGTTCCACTTGAGTTTTTAATTTATGAAAAGACACCGCTACATTTCAGACAAAATATATATATATTTTTGAAATCTTTACAATAAATCATGATGTCTGAGCGTCCACAGAGCACAGGTTAGTTTATTGAAGCACTCCGTTCCCGCTCCCGGGAATGCAAATAACCCTGGTAACAGTGTGTACACAGTCTCCTCTTTGCCTTTTTTTTTTTTTAATCATTTTAAAGCAAATAATACATTTGACTGTAGGTCAGTCTGTGCAAATAATCCTTTGGAAGGAAATCCCCCAGACCCGGTTGGCGGAGGGCGGTTCTGTGTCTCCGGGATGTCGCCGCGGGTTCCAAATCTTCAGATAAAGTGCTCTTGGCCCTGTCCAGCAGAACCCAGAGGCCTGCAAGGCCTGCGAGCGCTGGGGCCGCGCCCTTGGCCTCCGTCATACGAACTCCAGCTTCCCGTGCCCGCTGTACATGCCCCAGTGCACCAGGGACAGGACTTTGTCGTGGCTGAGGTCGGCGTGCCGGAGTTTGTCGCAGGCCGCACAGCAGCTCTCGTGCCCGCTGACCGGCACCACGCACTCCAGGTCCAGCTTGGCCACCTGGCCCTTTTTGGAGTGATGTCCGTGGAAGCTGTAGTGCAGCCGGGACAGCATCTGCTGCCTCTGGTCCTGCAGTCTCTTGTTCTCGCTCCGCAGCATCCTCAGGGCCAGCATGATCAGCAGCACGAGGATCAGCCCTCCCGCGATCGGCACGGCGATCACCGCCGCCCGGAACCACAGCTCCTTGGAAGACGTCAGCTCCTGCACCTTGGTGATGAGGTTTCTGTTCCCGTCATGCTGGTACCTGTTCCCTTGTCCTAGAGGAGTACAAACAAGGACACGATCAGACGCTGGGGTGAACTCCTTCCGTGCAGTCGCTGTCGTCTTCATCACCATCACCACCATCACCATCATCACCATCACCATCATCATCGCCATCTACCCATGTTAAACAAGGAAGCAGCCTCCAATGCCATCCAGCACGTTTAGAAAATAAATACAGCAAAAACCATCCAGGGCAGCTCACAGCCACATTTGTTTATGGACTGACAAGTAACAGTCTCTGAATGTCTTCAACTTCAACATGTTGAAAAAACAGGCAAAAACCTATCAGGCAGACAGACAGCTAAGGCTCAGGCAGACATGAAAGGCGCGCACGAGCTAGAGAGAGAGAGAGAGAGAGAGAGAGAGAGAGAGAGAGTCCCTCCAGCAACTCTAATCGCATTAGCAACAGAATCAAGGGCAGACACACGCGCGCGCACACACACACAGCCGCCGGACGGCTGTCGCCAACATCCAGGTGGGACAGGCAGGCACTGGGGGGAGAGGGCCCGGCTGCTTCCACCTACCTGGGGCCTCTCCCCTGGGTGCAGGGAGAAGGTCATGCAGCCCTCTGTAATTGCACATGTCCTCATGACAGCATTCCAATGTGGGCACGCCGGTGCCGGAGTGGTTGTGTGTCTGTTTGGCTTGGCACACGTCTGCTGAGCTTGCGACAGACTCCAGGCAGCCGTGGGTGAGTGGGGAGTTTGTGTTCTGAGGATCCAGCAGTCTGGAGAAGCAGGCGCTGAGCTCCGACTTGCACATGTACCCAGTCGCCACGCAGTGGGCAGCATCACAGTAGCACCGGATTTCACCTGGAAGCCAACGAGAGCCGGTGTCAGCCTCGGCTTCAGACACAAGCCACTACCTTGAGCCACTGTGAAATCACATATCCGGAGACTGGCAGCCCGTCTGAGACTAGAAAAGCCCTTGGAGCAGTTGGGGCTGAAGCGCCAAGTTGCTAAAATGCCATTTTACAAATGTGTTAATCCCAACAGATTTCTGATGAGTTCGTGTCATTAAAAAAAGTTTTCGGGGGTTGGTGCTATGGCGCAGAGCATTCCCCAACGCCTGCAATACCAGCATCCCATATGGGTGCCAGTGAGAGTCCCGGCTGCTCCACTTCCGATCCACCTCCCTGACAAGTGGCTGGGAAAGCCACGGAAGACGGCCCAAGTGCTTGGGCCCCTGCCACCCACATGGGAGTCCCCGATGGAGATCCTGGCTCCGGTTTCAGCCTGGCCCAGCCCTGGATGTTGCAGCCATTTGAGGACTGAACTAGTGGATGGAAGATTCTCTCTCTGTAACTCTGCCTTTCAAATAAATAAATAAATAAATAAATAAACCTTGGGAAAAAGAAATACATTGGGGGCCAGTGCTGTGGCATAGTGGGTAAAGCCACCACCTGCAGTGCCGGCATCCCATATGGGCACCAGTTCTAGTCCTGACTGCTCTTCTTCCGATCCAGCTCTCTGCTATGGCCTGGGAAAACAGTAGAAGATGGCCCAAGTCCCTGGACCCCTGCACCAGTGTGGGAGACCTGGAGGAAGCTCCCGACTCCTGGCTTTGGATCGGCACAGCTCCAGCCATCGTGGCCATTTGGGGAGTGAACCAGTGGATAGAAGACCTTTCTCTTTCTCTGTGTGTGTAACTCTTTCAAATAAATAAATAAAGCTTAAAAAATATTTTGGTCCTTCCATAAGGCAAATGATTTTATGTTTTCATTCTAATCCTACACAACAGAAAAATGCTAGGCTTTTTTATTTTGTCAGTATAAATATTTGATCGGAACTACTGAATTGTTTACTATCCCGAAAGTCTGTGCCAAGATTTAAGAGCTTTAGCTAACACCTTATAAAGTTATTAACTAGAAACACAACTATCTAGAAATCGCTGAGGTCAGGTCTAAAACCCATGAAACGGGCAGCCATTTGCAACCCCTTTAAAAAGGCAAACTTTGCCTATAAAGATCTTTCCATGCAGAGGAGCTTTTAGTCAGTATATTGTAAAACAGGAACCAGGCAGTTTACAATTAGTGGTTTGCTTGCCAAAGTCAATTTCTTTCGGCCCAAATGGAAAGTCATAAAAAGGGGGCGGGGGGGGGGGGGAGGCGTGCAAAGCTATAAGGCTAACTTCTCCCCCCAGGCTCCCACCCCTGCCTCGCATGTCATTCAACATGTGATCCGACAGGGGAAACGCTAAAGCCGAGAAACCCTCGCGGCTTGAATGAAAAACCCGTAAGGAAACCTCGGCTGCTTCTACAGGAAGTGATTACAAGTTTCCTTTATAAAAACCGATTTTGTGAGCTGCACGTCTGTGTTAGCATCCTCTCACCACGCCCGACGACTTCCAGCCCACATAACCTGGGCTCTCCCAATCACCGCCCCATCCCACACCCATGCCGCTGGTCACCGCCAAGAGATGCCCCAGCCTGGCTACTGCAACTGGAAGCAGCGCGTGCACAGCCCCTTCCTGGCTGCCAGGGGCCAGGAACCTCCACTCTGAGACTCCCAGACCCCGCCCACCTCCACCCTGCCGCCTCCTCTCCATCAAAGCCTGATTAAGGTGTCTCATTTAATTATCCGTCCAAATTCCAGGCCAGCACTCGGAACCCTTGGTTTTCACCGGCTCCAGATATGGGAGAAAACAGACACACACACACACACACACACACACACACACACACACACGCCCCTCTGGTGATGCCTAACAGTGCAGAGGTGGAGTCGCGGCTCCGCCATCGGCACTGAGTGTCCTGGGTTTGGGCCCTGCTGCCTGTCTGTAGCCTCTGCTTGCTCCCGCTCATGGTCTGCACAGCGCCCCAGGTTCTTGGGCGGGTCAGCACACCTCCCTACCCTGATAAACTCCCCAGAGGCCGGAAGAATCGCACAGAATAGATTCAAACTCCATCCAGGCCACCGGACCAGGACCCAGTGCCGAAAGAGACCTGGCCTGCCTATGTAAGGCTGTTTTCGATGGCCTGAAACACTCTGAATAGAAGTTGGGACAGGTTAACTGGGAAAGGTCTAACAACTTTTTTAAAAAAAGAAAAACCGAAGCCACATTGAAGCCGGGAGAATGGACTTTTGTGTAACTGTATGAAACTGCATTTCTGCAGTTTCATAAAGTTTCTTCCTGGGGCACGATGAAGGCCGGGGTGCGGGGAGGGGACTGGGGTTCTGAAGCCGAGAACAATGCCCCTGTGTGCCCCCTTTTCCTGGTTACTGTACGTGGTGATTACAGAAAAATGCCTGCTTTCGTCAAGATGGCTACAGGAGACACTGCAGGCTTTTGAAGTTCGCAGCAGTCAGAAATGTCTGATCCCCTAATTATATCATTATCAGGCACATAGTTTCGGTATCTGTGACTTCACGTCGGCCCCTCCGCAGGCTGGAGGGCTGTTATTTAGGGTTAATTACACCCTTCCTTCCAAAATAAATAAATACTGTAGCACATCACCCTCGCCGGGGTAGCCTGATCCTTTAACCTCCTGCCTGCTCTACATAGCAATTAGAGAAAAGTGGGGGGTGCAGAGGCTGAATAATGCTTCCTATTTAGAAAGAAATGGCCCCTTCCCGGGGAGGCAAGCTGAGTTCAGGGCCAGGAGCCCGGGAGTGTGGGCTGTTCCACTCCAGAGGGGGCTGCCTGCGGGGATTGGGGAGCGGGCCCACGGCTTTCTCCTCCAAATCCGGCTTTCTCCTCCAAATCCGAGGCGGGTGGGAACCGGCAGCAGGGACACAAGCACACACCCCGGCCCGACGCTCCCAGGAGATCTGGGCAGTCACAAAGACACACGCTCAAAGGGACTTTTAGACGGAGACCCACTCCCACGCGCGGTACAGAGATGCACTCACAAAGACTGACAGTCACAGCACATACACCCCCACTCACAGAACCTAGACACACCTAGAGACACACACACCCCTACACACTCACACAGAGACACTCACTGAGACACTCAAGGACACGCACCTGGAGACACTCAAGTGCATACACACCTAAAGACACTGAAACACATACATGTAGACACACGTGCACCTGGAGGCACACTTAGACCCTGGGACACACACTCACACGTGGAGACACACACGAGACAAACTGACCCGGGGACAGGCACACGAGACTCACACACGCACACGTAGAGACACACACCTAGAGGCACGCTCAGGGCCACACTCAGACCCCAGGACACACACACACATGCAGACACACTCACGTGTAGACACATAAGAAACAAACTGACCCAGGGACAACACTAGACTCACATACACACAGAGAGACACACACCTAGAGGCACACTCAGACCCCAGGACACACACAGGCAGACACACAGACAGGTGGAGACACACAAAAGACAAACTGACTCAGGGACAGGCACACTAGACTCACACACACACACGGAGACACACACACCTAGAGGCACACTCAGAATCCGGGCCATGCACACTCAGAGCCACACTCAGACCCCAGGACACGCACACACGCACACTCACACGTGGAGACAAACTGACCCAGGGACAAGCACACTAGACTCTCACACACACAAACTTAAAAGACACAAACCTAGAGGCACACTCAGAGCCCGGGACACGCACAGTAAGAGCCACGCAGACCCCGGTACACGCACACCCAGAGCCACACTCAGACCCCGGGACCCGCATACCAAGAGCCAGGCTTAGACTCCGGGACCCGCATACCCAGAGCCACACTCAGACCCCGGGACACGCAACACCCGGAGCCACACTCAGACCCCGGGACCCGCATACCCAGACTCCGGGATCAGCATACCCAGAGCCACACTCAGACCCTGGGACACGCAACACCCGGAGCCACGTTCAGTCCCCGGGACACGCACACCCGGAACCACACTCAGACCCCGGGACCCGCACACTCAGAGCCACGCTCAGACCCCAAGACACGCACAGCCAAAGCCACGCTCAGACCCCGGGACATGCACACTCAGACCCCGGGACACGCACACTCAGACCCCAGGACACGCACACCCAGAGCCACGCTCAGACCCCGGGACACGCACACCGCGACGCGCCAGCCGGGGTCGGGCAGGGGGCGGCCGCCGGGTCCCCGGAGCGGCCGCGACCTCCGGGAGCCGAGCAACGTGTCGCGACTTGCGGCTCCGGCGCGGGAGGGCACGTCGCCCGCCGCCAACAAAGCCTCGGCAGCCGGCTTCGAAGCCCCGCGGCGGGCACCCACCTCTGGTGAGCAGCACGGCCATGGCGCAAAGCTCGAGCTGCAGCCACACGAAGATGTAGCTGGAGTGGCGATCCATGGACGCCGCCCCTCGGGGCGCGCCGTCAGCGCCGGGGCCAGGGGCCGGGCCGCGGCCGCAGCATGGAGAGCGGCCGCCGGCTCCTCCGGCCTCGCGCGCTGCCCGCGCCGTGGGCTCCCGGCCGCGCTGCGCCCCCACCCCGAGCGCCCGCCCTCACGCCGCCACTCGGCCGAAGCTCCCGGGAGCGCCGCCGCCGCCAGCCCCGCCGCGCGCCGTAAATAGCGCCGGGCGCGGGGACCCGGCCCGTGGCGCCCCGCCCCGGCCACGCCCCGGCCGCGCCAGCGCCCTCCGATTGGCCGCAGGGCTGCTGTCAGTCAGCCCCAGAGCTCGAAGTGGGGAGGGGAGGGGAGGGAGGCGGGCCGGACGCGGCGCCGGCGTCTGAGGTGGCGGCGCCGGCGTCTGAGGCCGTGTCCCGCGCTCCCCCTTGCGGAGGCCCGCGCGCCCCGAGACCCCGAGTTTCCTCGCCCCCGGCCTCGTGCGCCCCCGGGGAGACCCCCGGGGACGGGTGGCGGCCCCCGGTCGTGGTGCGCGCGCGCAGGGTTTCGGGGGTGGTGGTCTGCTTCCCGCCTTCTCCCCTCACCCGCCGGCCGCGTCCGTCTCCAGCCGGCCGGCCCTGGGATCGATAAAAGCGCAGACAGACGGCCGCGGAGGGCCGGCAGCCGCGGGCTTGCTCCCGGGGAGCCGGCTGCAGACGCTTCACGAAAATGAGCAGATGCGAGCGCGCCCGGCGCCAGCGAGACGACGCGGGCCGGCCCGGGCCTCGGGGAGCCGCCCCCGCGCGGCCGCCGGGCTCGCCCTCCCGGGAGCCCTGGGCATTTCGGAGGGGCTTCGCGGGGCTGCTCGGGGGTTCGCTGTGGGGTGGGTGGGTGGGTGGGTGTGTTTGCACGGCGAAATTCAGCCGGAAACGGTCCCTGTCTGTCTGAGGGCTTGCTCTTTTTTTCTCCTCTCCCATCGCTTAGCAAAAATTCCCTTTTTCGGGTGATTTCCCTACCTGAGAGGCTGGCGGGGAAGAGAGGGGCGCAGTTGTTCGATGATTAGAAAGTTCAAGTTGTTAGGCTTGCAGGAAGTGCACACCTGACCGTGGAGTTGAGCGCCCGCAGCCCTGCAGCGTGGAATGAGTGCACCTGCTATTGAGCAAGTGTTTTCTAAATGCAGAAAAACTGAAGTTTTTTTTTTTTTTTAATGACTTATTTGTTTGAAAGGCAGAGTTAGGGGAAGGGAGGCAGAGAGAGAGAATCTTCCAGCCCCTGTTTCATTTCCTCAAATGGCCACAATGGCCAGGCTAAGTCTAGGAGCCAGGAGCTTCCTTCGGGTCTCCCCCGTGGGTGCAGGGCCCCAAGCACTTGCGCCATCTTTGGATGCTTTGCCAGATGCATTAGCAGGGAGCTGGATCAGAAGTAGAGCAGCCGGGACTTGAACTGGCGCCCCTATGGGATGCCGGCATCACAGGTGGTGGCTTAACTTGCTACGCCACAACTTCGGCCCCCCGTATTGCAGTTTTAGAAGTGGGTGTTCTACGTTTGAGTTAAATCAAAAATGTGTCTCAAAGGAGAGACAGGCACCACCACCAGAAGTTTTCTAGGGGAAAAAAAAACACAAACGGGTGTTTCTCAGGGGAGGGGTTGCCAGCCAGTTCTGAGACTTTGATTAGAACTCTCCAGAGGGAGGTAGACAAGCTAAAGATTCAGACAGTACCCTCTCCATGTCATGACACACTTTCTTTCGCGAGAGTCCGTTGTTATTAGCTAAAAGGAATCTTCTGGAGTCTAGTCTTTGCGCCCTGTTGGAGGCCAGGCTCACGGTGTCTGGGGGTTACACAGTTCTGGGGAGTCAGAGACCATGGACTTGGGTGATGGGGACTTGGGTAAACTAGAGGGTAAACTAGCCCAGGAAAGGGAGGAGCTCCAGGAGGCTCTGCTGGAAGCCAGGGAGCAAGAGGATTGTCCCATGGGAAGCAGACAGGACTGGGTGTTTGCAGAGTGAAATGAGGAGGAGATGGGCAGATGGGACTACAAGAGATTCTTTGTAGCTGGAGCCTAAGTGTGAAACAAGGAATGGGAAGAGGCACTTGGCAGTGAAGGCCACTTAGCTTTGGTGCAGATAAGTGCTAGCCGGATGAGTTGACCGGAGTTGTGTTGTAGCAGGCACTGAGCACCTTCCCAGCCTGTTTCAGGGAGCACCCCTTCTCACTGGAGTCGCCCCTAGCAATCAGCCTGGAAGGTTCTGCCCTGTGGCCATAGCTCATCACATGACCCAAGCTGTTAGATTCTGCCGTCTGGGTGGTCCTTTCACCAAAAGCATACAAGTTCCGAGCTACAGGGCCACTGTATCCTGCTTGCAAAGAGACAGTGATGGAGATGTACAAATTGTAAACTCAAATGATTTCTATTCTCCTGGCTCTGCTGTTTGAAAAAGATCGATTTATTTCAAAGGCAGAATGACAGAGAGAAAGGGAGAGATCTTCCATCTGCTGATTCACTCCCCAGAAGCCTACAACAGCTGGGGTTGGGCCAAAGCCAGGGGCCAGGAACTTCTCCGGGTCTCCCACCTGGGTGTCAGGAGTCCGAATACTTGGACTATCCACCTGCTGCCTTCCAAGCGTTCACATGAGCTGGGAGCTGGGTCACACGTGGAGTGGGACTTGAACCAGGCTCTCTGATGTGGGATGAGGGTACCTCAAAATGCAGCTGATCCCTCTGCCCCGAGTGCCCATGGCGGCTTCACTTCCGGTCCTTCGGTTCGTGCTTTGGTCAATGCAGGAAACTTAAAAAGTCCCTCCTTTTACTAAAAGCTCTTTTACTAGCATCCCAAATGGCCCAGGCTAAACTTTATATTTTATAAACTCACGCTGATTTTTATCACTCCATGTCACTTTTTTGTTGTTGTTGTTCTAAATACAATTCGGTCAGACAGTGATTTCAACTCTTTTGTTTTTATTATTAATGGGCAAATGTTCCAAATGGCTACAAATTAGTTTTAAGAGAAACAAGTCTGCACTTTATCTAATGGTTTTGGAGCAGACGTAGCCTTTTCAACTAAGTGAATGAGAGTGTTTGAATCAATGTGGAAAATCAAAATTAGTTTAGGGGTAATATGTGAATTATGAGGCCATATCAATAGTTGAGTGAATAGGCAACAATTTTAATTCAATTTAAGACTCTTAAGGCAAATTGCTTCTCTACAGAATTTTACTTATGCTCTGGACATAATTCAGTTATGATTTTCCTATGTGAAGGTTGGTAACTAGAGGGAAAGTTAGTAAAATCTAGTGTCCTTTGAAGTTTAAATCAGGAAGTCAATAACCACCACCCCAATTTACGCATATAAAGAGAATTCTGAAAAATGTACCTGGGAACAAGCTATCTGTGCCCCCAGAGCAGAAAAGGATTTCTAACAGACGTAACCGAAATCATTACACATTATAATAGGTTGGTTTTGTTGCCACCAGCTTCTAGATGTCATTTCTCTGTGGTTACAAGTATTATATAATCACAACATCCCACTAGGATACATTCTTACGGTTACCCTGTACCCATGAGATCCTTTTGCCAACAAAACTGTACATATGCCATCCGTCTCTGCTTACTTGGATCCCGCCATCGTCCTCCAATGATCCTCTCCTCAGCTATGATCTCTCTCTCCACAATACCAGAGAAAAAGAGCTGTTGGTGTATTTTATTCCAAGGAAGGGCAGTTGTGTTTGCGTTCCTGGCTAACAGACAAACAACCCTTGCAGTCTAGTGATAGAATCTAACAATTCTACCTATGGCACAAATTCACCAACTAATAATCCACAGAGCCTGGGTTACACTTTGAATCCCCACTAGCAGATTCTTTTTAAAGTCATTTGTTCTCAGTAGAAGTTAGGAGTTTAAATCTAGACTTTACTTGCAGCAAATAAGCTCAAATGTGAGAGGTTAGCTCAGCTGAAAGGAATGGCTGTCCCTTCAGGGTTTGGGGGGAGGATTGTTTTGTTGTTTTGGGTGGGGAGTTGTTTGTTTCATTGGCTGGTTTTTCACTTTTCCTGCAAAGTGAAAAATGACAGAAGTCTCTGACAGCCAGGTCTGGAAGATGTGGCAAGAAAGGACAGAACTGAAATTCATATTCCCCAAAGCCCAGCCTCCTACCAACTAACAAAGGCATGTTAGGACCCTGTAAATAAATCACAGAAGAGCTAGCCATTGTCTCAAGCTTTCCCTAAGAACATCTCTTTTAAATTTATGTGAGAAGCAGTGAGAGAGCACTACCATTTATTTACTGGTTCACTCCCCCAAATGCCTGCACCTATGTGAGAGACCCGAAAGAAGTTCCTGGCTTCAGGCTTCAGCCTGGCCCAGTCTTGGCTGTCTGGGGATTAAACCAGCCAATGGAAGATCTCTCTTCCTCTTCCTCTCTCTCTCTCTCTCTGTAACTTTGCCTTTCAAATAAATAAACCTTTAAGAAATAAAAGTCATCAATTGCATTTTGCAAGAATACAATCATCATTAAATATAGTCAATATGTGCTGTGCACTAACTCCCCATACAGGACCTCTGTCTTCAATGAGTTGTATTGAGTTAACTGTAAAACCGATTCTCAGTTTTGTGTGTGTGTGTGTGTGTGTGTGTGTGAATTGTTGAAATCTCTACTTAGTATAAGGTTGGTCTTTTGTGTACAATGTTAATTGCAATTGAATCTTAATGGAGAATGGGACTGGGAAGGGGAGAGGGAGGAGGAGGGGTGGTAGTGTGGGTGGGAGGGTAGGTATGGTGGGAGGAATAACTATGTTCCTAAAGTTGTACTTATGAAACTTGTATTCCTTAAAAAATAAATAAAAAAGAAAATATTTTCAAAATAAATAAATAAATAAATATAGTCAATATGCTGTACCATGGATTTCTTGAATTTCTAAGAATTTTTAAAGTTCATTTATTTTTACTTATTTGAAAGGCAGAGTGACAGAGAGACAGATATAGAGAGCTCTCCCATGGCTGTCACTTCCTAAATGCCTACAACAGCCAGATTGAAGCCAGGAGCCAGGAATTCAATCCAGGTCTCACACCTGGGTGACAGGGACTCAAGTACTTGTGCCATCCTCTGGTGCCTCTCAGGAAGCTGAATGGGAAACAGAGCCGAGAGTCCGATCCACGCATTCCACCCTTTCCTTATTTCTAGCTTCTGCTCTCTCCACACCTCTGCTT